TCCCAAAGTGCTGGGATTACAGGCTTGAGCCACCGCGCCCGGCCTTCTTTTTTCTTATTTGAGATAGGGTCTCACTTTTGTTACACAAGCCTGGCTAACTTTTGTATATTTAGAAGAGATGGGGTTTCACCATGTTGGCCAGGCTAGTCTCAAACTCCTGACCTGAAGAAATCCTCTTGCCTTAGTCTCGCAAAGTGTGGGGATTAAGGCGTATGCCACCATGCCTATTAGTTTGTTTTTATACCTTTTAAGAAATGGCTTTCCACTTCTTTTCCTTATGTTCATTTCTATGGGCTCTTTAAATATTTACTCCTGTTCTGTTCATTGTGAATACAATTCCCAGTCTGAGGCTTGATTTTATGTTTCCTTTTTTCCATCACCACATCATACCTCTTCTATGCACTATCTACCCCTATTGATGGTGGCAGGCTAAAAACCTGAGAATGCACCTAAACGTTTTCCTCTCTTTTTCCTTGGTAGGTAGAGAAATGAATGTCCCTGGCCTAAGTATAAAAAGGTACAGGCTCTTCTCTGGCCTTGTCACTGCCATGACCCACAGTACACCCTTCAAAACCATATACTGGAATGTAACTCTTGCCGTCTGTCCAAGCCTTATGAAAATTTAAACCTATTCTTTCTTTCTGGAATTTCAGTCACCTGTATAGTTATAAACTGAAAAAGTTTGGACAAGACAACATATTTGAAAGTACATTGTAAAGTGCTATATAAATATTATTATGAACAACAACTAAAAATAAGAACAAGAGGGGAGGAACTAACAAAAAATTATAGATATTTTGCTGTGGAAAGACTGCAACATGAGACCGAAAAAACAAAAACAAAAAAAAAATCACTATATCTTACCGAAGATCCAAACCAGCTTCTTTCCAGAGTAAATCCATCAAGCGCAACATTTGGAGTGTCAACATATCTTGTCGTAAATCTAAGGGAAAACAAACTACTTCATTACAAGTGCTTTCTCTTTTATGCCCTGTAACTCATTAATTCAACATTAAATCAGTCAGAATTAACTAAAAACATTAACCAATGCTATGCTAATATTTTTGCTAATTTTATAACAAATATTACACTCATTGGATAGTATGTCCCTGTAACATTATTTTAGAAATTATATTAAAAGATTTTTTAATTGCTTATTATGTGTAAACTACTATACTAATTGTATGCTGTAATACTGTTTGTATTACATTGTATGTGTATTATATTAATTACATGGCTAATTTTTTTCCTTCTTGCTTGCTTTTAGGGTTACACAGGGAGTCCTTAAGAATCACATAATTAATTGAATCATGAGGTCACAAAACTGTAATGGTTGAATTTATTATCATGTCTAAGGGTATTTTCAGGGAAGAGAGCAGATGAAACTAGTGACATCCACATAATGACATCTGTATGGTCAAGTGGCATGAAATGTTTCGCAAATCTCTATGAGTTCTTTGTAAGTTGTAAGCACATATTCTAAAAAGCACATTTACTTATGTTATCTCAATTCCTTTTAATAGCCCTGACATACAGATACTATAATCCTCATGGATGTGAATAATCTGAAGCTCAAGCAGTTTCCTATGACTTGTTTGCAGTCACATAACTAACAAGTCACCACTGCCTAATGGCTGGTGTGATTACTTCAGAGGCACTTCCTCTACAAATTTTGAGTCTGTCAGGTACTTTTATTAAAATACAAAACTATGGTGGCAAAATCAGTATTGCTATCACTGAAACAGGATGTATGAATATATTACTAAAAATATCCTTGACTGGGCACAGTGCCTCATGTCTGTAATCCCAGGACTGAGAGGCTAGAGTGGGTGAATCACTTGAGCTCAGGACCTCGACACCAGCCTGAGTAACATGGTGAAACCCCATCTCTACAAAACATACAAAAAGTGAGCCAAGGGCCGGGCGCGGTGGCTCAAGCCTGTAATCCCAGCACTTTGGGAGGCCGAGGCGGGTGGATCACGAGGTCAAGAGATCGAGACCATCCTGGTCAACACGGTGAAACCCCGTCTCTACTAAAAATACAAAAAATTAGCTGGGCATGGTGGCGCATGCCTGTAATCCCAGCTACTCAGGAGGCTGAGGTAGGAGAATTGCCTGAACCCAGGAGGCGGAGGTTGCGGTGAGCCGAAATCGCGCCATTGCACTCCAGCCTGGGTAACAAGAGTGAGACTCCGTCTCAAAAAAAAAAAAAAAAAAAAAAAAGTGAGCCAAGTGTGGTGGCGTGTGCCCACAGTCCCAGCTACTCTGGGGGCTGAGGTCGGATAATCGCTTGAGCCTGAGAGGTGAAGGCTGCAATAAGCCAAGATTGTACCACTGCAGAGTGAGACACTGTCTCAAAAAAAAAAAAAGTAAAAATATTATCTCATATTTCAAAAGCTTTTTAATCAAAGAAGTAGACATACTTGGTATTTTGTAGGGGAAAATTTAGGTTCGCTAGAACAGTGTATTTCAGTGAATGGTATAAATCATTTTCTAAGAAGGAAAAAAAGGCACTTAGGACATTTGAATTTGACTTTATGACCATCAATAGCTACCTTCATGGCTGCAAACAGTTAAACACTTTCACTACACATCACCTTTCAGATAAGGCAAAATGGCAACAAATGAAAAATTCCAAGGAATTTGATGATGTTAAAAAAGCTCAGTACTTACCATCACCATTTTTAAAAATCACTCCAACTGAATCCTCACCAAATACCTTGTTATTGTATACCAGCCACAAAGGCTTCATTTTGGAATCCATGTATTTGCACTTTTCAACACTAAAATCAAGAAAATTAGTCAACTTCAGTGTAGTGATACACAAGATTATAATTTTACCATGATATAATAGGCTTGGGAAAATTCCTCACCTATTCCTTTCAGGTCTGCAGAGGAGTCAAAAAAAGTCCCACTTGGTAGAAAAGCAACTATGAGGACAGCCTTGGATGGCATAGACTGATGCCAGATAGGCTGGACTCAAAACCCAAGATCTGCCCTTTTTACCTTCACCACTTAAAATTCCTCCTCTCATTTCCTTTTGTTTGCAAATGATTACATTAGTGAATAAAAAATTAGAACAAATCATTGGATTAAAATTAGAACTATTATGAGATCATTCTTGATTTCTTAACAAGGGGTTCATTTGAATACTGATGTATACTGAATAACAGATTATTATTTTTCATTATCACTTTTATAGGAAATGAGAAAGTGAGAAGTAAGTTGCCAAATTCATTCAAGACAAGATCTCATTTTAAAATAGGAAAATCAATCAGTGAATAATTTACTATAGTTTCCAACATTTTGCTTGTTAGGAATATCAACTCTTACAAATCAGTAATATAGAAAATAAATTTAATTACATATAACTGAAATATGAATTCATTTGTAACTTTCACTAAACCCACAGGTACGTTTAGCTGACAAGCATGTATTCTATTGAATATAAACACAGCCTCTGAGAACTTTTAAGATTTTCCTTCTTTAATTATATTCTATGTCCTGAGGCTGACAGCTGGCCCTGCTACTCCCCTAAGGTAGTGACTTTCTGCTTGCTATTTCATAGGAGACTCACTGAGCAAAGCACAGTCACTTACTAGAGTTCCGAGAGGATAACACATGGGTTCAGGGGTGACTGCAGGTCAGAGAGGGCTTCCCGGTAAGCACTCTGTTTTAAACAGGTGTGCATGGCCTCCTTCCCTTTGGCTCTGTTCAACTTCACTGCATTCAGTTTGATTAAACTATTTAAAGTTTTTAACTTATTGAGGGCTTCAACCTGAAAAATAAGTTCCCCACACAAAAAATTCATTTGATTAAAAATAATATCATGTGATCATATCAATAACACCTGCTCCCAACACATAAACATAAACACACATAATCAGCTGAAGTAAAAATAGTATCTGCTTTAATGAAAAGTATTTTACATATAATAAACAACTTATTTTTAACAGTTGTTATTTACGGCATCATTTTCAAAGTTTCTTTAAACCACTTCTTATAAATTTGAAAAAAGCAGACATAGATTATGGGTACTTAAGAAGATAAATGTGGGCCAGCACTTTGGGAGGCTGAGGCAAGTGGATGACTTGAGGTCAGGAGACCAGCCTGGGAAACATGGTGAAACTCTCTCTCTACAAAAAAAACACAAAAATTTGCTAGGCATGGTGGCACTCGACTGTAATCCCAGCTACTCGGGAGGCTGAGGCACAAGAGTCGCTTAAACCTTGGAGGTGGAGGTTGCAGTGAGCTGAGACTGAACCACTGCACTTCAGCCAAGGGAAGAGAGTGAGAAACTGTCTCAAAAAAAAAAAGGAAAGAAAGAAAAGAAAAGAAAAAGAAAATAAACATGAAGCTTAAACTATTCAAAATTCTGCAATTCACTGAGTAGTAGAATTTGAGACATCACTAATCTAAACCAGTCCATTTGGCCAACTCCACAGTATAAGAGAAAAACCTATGTAGAAGTAACTCTGAGGTTCTTGCTATTCAACCTTAATATCCACTTCTTGTCATCACTCTTGTATGACAGCTCAATATATTCTCTTTCCATTAACAGAACAGAATGAATTATTGTCTAATAAAGTAAGTGTGAATACAGACATAGTATGTTATTCAAATCTAAATTACTTGTTTTTATAATAACTATGGCTATCAAAACTTAGGAAAGTAAAAAAAAAAAAAAAAACTCAGGCAAGTAGTACAAGGTGTATCAACAATGGCCAACTAAATCAAAACCATTATGTTTAAGGTTCAACTTTAGGCTGGGTGCGATAGCTCACATCTGTAATCCCAGCACTTTGGGAGGCCAAAGCAGGTAGATCAGTTGAGGCCAGGAGGTTGAGATCAGCCTGGCCAACATGGAGAAACCCGGTTTCTACTAAAAATACAAAAATTAGCCAGGCATAGTGGTGTGCACCTGTAATCCCATATGCTCAGGAGGCTGAGGCAGGAGAATCACTTGAACCTAGGAGCCAGAGGCTGTGGTGAGCCCAGATGGCACCAATCTTCGTATTCTCTTTAAGAACACACGTGAAACTGCCCAGGCCATCAAGGGTATGCATATACGAAAAGCCACGAAGTATCTGAAAGATGTCACTTTACAGAAACAGTGCATACCATTCCGATGTTACAATGGTGGAGTTGGCAGGTGTGCCCAGGCCAAGCAGTGGGGCTGGACACAAGGTCGGTGGCCCAAAAACAGTGCTGAATTTTTGCTGCACATGCTTAAAAATGCAGAGAGTAATGCTGAACTTAAGGGTTTAGATGTAGATTCTCTGGTCATTGAGCATATCCAAGTGAACAAAGCACCCAAGATGCGCCGCCGGACCTACAGAGCTCACGGTCGAATTAACCCGTACATGAGTTCTCCCTGCCACATTGAGATGATCCTTACTGAAAAGGAACAGATTGTTCCTAAACCAGAAGAGGAGGTTGCCCAGAAGAAGAAGATATCCCAGAAGAAACTGAAGAAACAAAAACTTATGGCATGGGAGTAAATTCAGCCTTAAAATAAATGCAACTAAAAGGGAAAAAAAAAAAAAAAAAAAAAAACAAGCCAATATTCATGCTTTAACCTTTGTCTGTCAAAAAAAGAAAAAATGAATAAACCAAATAAGTTGATACCTGCTTGGAAAGCACTTTCATGTGCCCCACACTTCCCCGACAGTATGCTTCAAGGATGACACCAAATTGTACTGAGACAGCAGGAATGTGCACTTCTGACCTGCAAAAGTTGATGATATCCACATGGTTTATCAAACACTTCAGATTATCAAATAAATATTGACTTCTTTATTCTACAAAAAATAAACTTATGATGGCAAGGTCATTGTGTGCATTATTATTATCTTTTTTTTTTTTTTTTTTTAGATGAAGTCTCACTCTGTCGCCAGGCTGCAGTGCAGTGGCAAGATCTTGGCTCACTGCAAGCTCCACGTCCAGGTTCAAATGATTCTCCTGCCTCAGCCTCCCGAGTAGATGGGATTACAGGCGCGCACCACCATGGCCAGCCAACTTTTGTTTTTAGTAGAGATGTGGTTTCACCACGTTGGCCAGGATGGTCTTGATCTCTTGATCTCGTGATCCAGCCATCTCGGCCTCCCAAGTACTGGGATTACAGGTGTGAGCAATCGCACCTGGCCTCGTTATTATTTTTCCTTCCTTCCTTCCTCCCTCCCTTCCTCCCTTTTTTGAGACAGAGTCTCACTCTGTTGCCCAGGCTGGAGTGCACTGGTGTGATCTCAACCTACTACAATCTCTACATCCCAGGTTGAACCCTGCCAAAAATAAACATGTAGCTAGATGTCATTAGGTGACTTGGTTCTGGCCAACAGGATGCAAGGTGAAGTGATGTGCACAACAAATGAGTCCTGCACTTAGAAGGAAATGATGGTCCCTCCTCTCCTGTACCCTGTCCTTCCCTCCTGACCCTCCCCATTTCTGGCTGGAATTTGGATAGGGTGCCCAGCCCCTTCATACCTGCAATTCTCTGGCCTTATAGTCTCCCAAGTAGCTGGGATTATAGGCATGCACCACCATGCCTGGCTAATTTTTGTATTTTTAATAATGACAGCATTTCGCCATGTTGGCCAGGTTGGTCTAAACTCCTGGCTTCATGTGATCCACCTGCCTCAGCCTCCCAAAGTGCTGGGATTACAGGCGTGCGTGTATCCCTGCACCCGGCTATTTTGTGCATAATTATTAGTGAGATGGGTCAACTTTCCAATTTGTTAAACTTCACAGTTCAAAATCTGTGTGATTCTATAATTAGTTAATTCTTTATTCCAAGAAATCTAAAATGTGCACATCTTAACCTGATTTGCTTTTTGTAGGGGTAAGGTGATCTTACCAATTTAAAAACATTAGACTGAAACAGAGATCTATGAAATCCAACTAGTATTATACAATTGACTAATGCCCTGATTAGCATCTACTCCAATTTTGTTCTCACTTAAAAAGTGGTGTACATATTTGAAAAAGGAAGGAATACTTATTTTGTTATTCCCTGAGGGATTTAAAAACTAAGACTGAATGAACGAGAAAACACTAGTTAAAATAAGAAAAGGTTCTAGAACACAAGGAATTAAAAAAGGGGGGAAGTCTATGAATAAGAAGAAAATCACATCCAGAAATAAAACTTCTAAAATCAGCAGCACATTACAGAGCTCATTGCCTTTGAGAAGCTCAGCAAAAAAAAAAAAAAAGAAGAAAGAGAGAGAAAAAGGAAAGAAGGAGGGAAAGAAAGAAGAAATCAAGCAGGCATGGAGGGACACATAGGATCTTGAATAACTGAATTACTTTGTCAAATCATGAAAATCAGGAGTACAGGTATCAAGAAATAGGAGAAGGCACCAAAACTATATACATGTTATAAATGGCTCAGAAATAAATGAAAGCAGCTATTTGTTCTATTAAATATATTATGGTGATTTATAGTTACTAAAGCATATGGTAGGCTCAAATTGAAATATAAAAGACTTACCTAAGATGCCAAAATAGAAACTGCCCTATCCTCCGATTAGCAAGTGCCCTTTCTAATAGGAATCTAGAGAGGGCACAATCAAGAAAAGGCTCATACTTTAAAACTTGCACCAGTTGTAAAAGATATTGAGAAAGTTCTTCATCACTGAAAGAAACAAAAGACACAGTGAGTAAGCAAACAACCTGTGGCAGGAAAAGATCCCTTCCTGTCAAACTATCAAATGTGAACTTGTTGAAACACAACGGTTCTTTTGGGCCAGGCTTGTTACATGCTTGTCTTCACTGAACCACTGTTAAAATACCACAAAACAAGCTAAAGATTTCAGATGGGGAAAGGGGAGTGAAGAGGGTCAAAGAACAGATACAAGAGATATTTTAATCAAATGAATTAGATTGTGATATGGTCTGGCTTTTGTCCCCACCCAAATCTCACCTCAAATTATAATCCTTATAATCCCCATGTGTCGGAGGAGGGTCCTGGTGGAGGGTAATTGAATCAATGTGGCCCCCCACGCTAATCTCATGTAGTGAGTGAGTTCTCATGAGATTTGATGGCTTCATGAATGGTGGTTTCCTCTGCTCTTTCCCTTTTCCTGCCACCTTGTGAAGATGGTACTTGCTTCACCTTTGCTTTCCAGCACGATTTGAAGTTTTGTGAGGCCTCCCCAGCCATGTGGAACTGTGAGTCAATTAAACCGCTTTCCTTTATAAATTACCCAGTCTCAGGTATTTCTTTATAACAGTGTGAAAATAGACTACTACAGATTGTTAAAATTGATGACTGTATTTCTAGTCAGCTAAGAGTTACCAAAAATATTAGACACCTCAATACTGATTTCTGATCATGCTAAAAAATTAATGTGCTTAGCTGAACAATCATTTTTTAAATAAAAATCCCAGTAATTTCACAATTTATTTTCCTTTGCTATCATTAGGATTAAGTAAATTCTCCCAGATAACCAATGAACAATTAACATCTTAACTTCAAATAGTTTGAAGGATGAGAAAGTGAATACATTTATAAGTGGGAATTGATCACTGAATTAATATAACATACAATATTGTAATTAACTGAGCTGAATTAGTTAAGGTTAGTGGTTCTCTATTTTGTGTCAATCTCCAGACCATTCACCTGTAAACACACTCCCATCAGAGGCAATTCCAGCAGTATGAAGTATGAGGCCCAAGTGCCCCACTTAATGTCTATAGTCTTGGGTAATAAATGGTTAAGGAATTAGTAGTCTAAGGCAGATATCTGGGATTGAAACCCAGGGCACTATTGGAAAAAAAAACAAAACCTCATAACCAGAAAATTTGACAATAGAAAAACCACCAGAATTAGCTACATGGTATACACAGATCATAGCAATCTCTTCAGAGGGATCAATGCATTTAAGAAAAACACTTGGTTCTGCCCAAGGAGAACCAGGTGGCCCCTCCACAAGAGGTCTCCAATGCAAACTTAAGGAGATGGTGGAGCAACCGGCAATTCATTTTTTAAAACTACCTATAACACAATCTCAATTAGGCTTATTGTAAAATTCATGCCCATTATATAACCTGTAAATAGTGTAAAAGCTAGGAAGTATAGGAATAATAGAAGGAGGCTTCCTCTTCTCTCACATTTCTAATTTCACTCCCCAGAAATAAGCACTATTGGTGAGTCTGGTTAATTTCTTTTGGATACCACGTAGCGTAAAACATATACAATTTTAAAAAGAAAAAATGATCACACTATCCATACTATTTTGAGAGCTTTCATTTTTCAAAAACCATAAAGTACATAAGCCTCATTTTTGAGGGTAGAAAGAAAATAGATAAACTTCATTGTTTGAGACATTCATTTCTTCAGTGAATCTCATAGATTCTCACAAATGCACCACCCAAAGGAGGCTGTACAAACATGTTCACCGCAGCATTTTTTATAATAGGGAAAATGTGGAAAAACTTAAATGTTACTTAATAGAGAATTAAATAAGATATATCCCTATGACAGAATATTACAAAGTAAAGGAATAAATGACATTTAAACATAATGGGAGAGACTAACCTCAAAATCCTAATGTTGATTTTTTTTTGATGGGGAGGAGGGTGGGGGACAGAGTCTCACTCTGTAGCCCAGGCTGGAGTGCAGTGGCACAATCTTGGCTCACTGCAACCTCCGCCTCCTGGGTCCTGGTTCAAGCAATTCTCCTGCCTCAGCCTCCCGAGTAGCTGGGATTTCAGGCATGTGCCACCATGCCCAGCTAATTTTTGTATTTTAGTAGAGATGAGGTTTAACCATGCTGGCCAGGCTGGTCTCGAACTCTTGATCTCATGATCTACCTGCCTCAGCCTCCCAAAGTGCTGGGATTACAGGCATGAGCCACCGAATTTTTATTTTATTTTATTTTTTGAGACAGGGTTTCACTCTGTCACTCAGGCTGGAGTGCAGTGGCACCATCTCGCTCCTGCAAGGTCCGTCTCCAGGGCTCAAGTGATTCTCCCACCTCAGCCTCCCAAGTAGCTGGGATCGAAGGTGCGCACCTCCACGCTGAGCTAATATCTCCATATTTTTGGTAGAGATGGGGCTTAACCATGTTGCCCAGTCTGGTCTCGAACTCCTGGGCTCATTGATCTGCCTGTGTTGGCCTTCCAAAGTGATGGGATTATAGGCATGAGCCACTACAACTGGCTGGTTTTTTTCCTTTTTTTTTGAGACAGAGTCTCGCTCTGCCACCCACGCTGGAGTGCAGTGGCGCAATCTTGGCCCAATGGAACCTCTGCCTTCTGGGTTCAAGTGGTTCTCTTGTCTCAACCTCTCGAGTAGCTGGGATTACAGGCGTCTGCCACCATGCCCAGCTAATTTTTTGTATTTTTAGTAGAGAAGGGGTTTCACCATGTTGGCCAGGCTGGTCTTGAACTCCTGACCTCAAATAATCTGCCTGCCTTGGCCTCCAGAAATGCAGGGTTTACAGGTGTGAGCCACTGCATCCAGCCAACTAGCCAAATTTTCAAAAAGCAAGATATAAACTAATGCATATGGCAAGACTTATTTGTGCAATAAC